ATGGTTGAGTCAGGTAATTAAATGAGGTGTGTGTGTTGGGGGAACAACGACTACAGAGTCCATCAGGCTATGGAAAAATACACGTGCCCCAAATATCAGTAACGTGGACTTAGATCAGGGGTCTCCCCAACATGGTGCTCATGGGCAGCAGTGCTCCCTCAAAGCTGTGGAGCCTTGTGAGCAAAACGTCTGCTTTGTGAGCTACTGGCATTGAAGTTGTGAGTGAGTGATTTGGCCGCTGCATAAATTAGCTTGCTATGGAGCCATCCTTTCTGAGCTGAGACAAAAGTGTGTGAGCCAGAGGCTAAAAAACTGTGAGCTAGCTCACACTCAGCTTAGAGGGAGCACTGGTGGGCAGCATGGCTCCTGCCGATGCCTTTCCTGGAGCTTGCCATTTTTCTGAAAGCGGGCACAGCCCGGGGGGGCTCATGCCCAGCAGGGCTTGTGATTGTCCACTGAAGATCCGATGGCCCATGCAGATTAAAATAGCATCATTTCAGCAACAGCTGCCACTGTGGTGTTGGTTTAATTCTCTGTCACTTCTCTTTCTTGGTATATTTCTTTTTAAATCAACTCCACTTGTTCCCTTTGCTTGGGCCTCCTCTCTCAGTGAGTCGGGCCTCCTCTGGTGGTCGTTTTGTGCTCCCACAATAGCCATTTTGTGGCTGGGCCCACCACCCTGCATTGGAATACCATAGATGTCCACAGGCTCAAAAAGTTCAGGGAACCCCTATTTAGACAAATATCAAATGGTAAGACTTTAAGTAAGCCTTAAAAAAAACCCAGTGTTTAATCACTGAATGGTTGACTGGTTGCTCACTTTCTATTTAAGCGGTTGGCTGATTAACTGCAGATGGGGTGCAGATGGAGTAAGCTTTGTGAGAATGTGCATGTGTGAATTGTTGTACTGTGTGAAGACTAGGGATGGGCCTACTTTTTCCATCAGGGCCCAACTCATGGTCGGTGAGCCCAGTTCATGCCGTGCTGCCAGCACAGACCTCCCATGACCCTCCCAGGAGGTAATGTCCGTATCAGCAGGGCTTGCAAAAGCCATTTAAAGGGAATGTGTTCCCTTTATATGGCTTTTGCAAAGCTGCACAGCATGGAGTGAAGGCCAAGTGGCGACTTCACCCACTTCTGGGTGGGTGAAGTCACTGCTTGCCTCCACTCACATGCCGTGCGACTTTGCAAAATCTATTTAAATTTTAAATGGGTTTTGTAGAGCCGTGTGGTGCACAAGCGAAGGCCAAGCGGCAAGTTAATCCACTTCTGGTTCACCCGGAAGGGAACTGGAAGTGGGTGAAGTTGCTACGCAGCTTTGGAAAAGCCATTTAAAGGGAATGCATTTGTAAGTCATGCAGCTTCACAGATCTAACAAACCATGACCCGGTCTGTTAAACATGGAGGTTTGTGGTCCACGGGTCCATAAACCTCACGGACCTTGGACCTCTGTGGTCCGTTTTTTTCCTGGACCGTGCCCATCCCTAGTGGAGACTCAGAAGGTAAGCCTCCAAACCAGCTCAAGTTGTTCCAGAGCGGGCAAACCGCTCAATGAAAAATTAGCTCAATGAAAAATCACGACTGGCAAACAGAACATGAGCCAAACCACCAGGCTCTTGAGCATTCTTAGTAGCACCCTGCCTTTCTAAAGAATCTTGCATAAATGACAGGCCAAAGGACATGTGTATTTCGGTAGGGCAAGGTATCGATAGCCATCCAAATCCTTAAGTATCACCCTGTTGAAAGGCAATAGCATGCAAAAGCCAAAACAGTTGGCGTGCACCAGCTCCATTGATTAGTACAAATTGAAACTCAGTCTTTGTTCTCTGGCGTCTTGTAGACACCTTAACAATTCTCCTTCTGAAGAAGTAGCTAAATTGTCACAATTAAAACCAGGCTCGGAGTATAGAGTTAATAATAATTTTTTAAAAGAGTGTGGAATGAACCAAATTGCTTCTGGCTACAATCCTTTATCCCAGGCAAAGAAATTGAAAAACCCGGCTATAAAAAGACTTAAAAATAGGTGGTTCTAAAGAACCTTCTGACAAGATAACTATGGGGCTTCAAGTAAACCACCCTAATTTAAGCACCCATCTTTTACTTAAACGTGGCTATTGTGGAAAATTTCCTTTGTGAGGGAAACTGAACTCTGTACCGTAACTGGAGGTATTCCATTGATGCCATCACTGGTGGCAGTTCAGTTTATTTGTTAATGCCGTGTTTGTGCCTGTGTTGCTTTTATACCTGTGGCTATGAGGACCAGAAGGCTGTCAGACTGGCTCGTTGTGGCCGTGACTTAAATGGGCTCTTTTCTCTGTCCTTTACTTCAGGGACACCCACCACCTCCTCTCTTCTTTTCTTGAGTGCACAGTTAAGTCATATTTATGGAGGTGGTGCTGTTGTTCTTGGTGAATGAAATATCTATACTTTGTTTTGGCATTTCCCATATTTTCTGTGGTGGTTTAGGCAGTTGTCTTCACCATCTTTTAGAGAGGTCTTGCTTTACTAACTCATAGTGAAGAACTGGGCCAGCAGTGGTGACCATAGAAGGCAAACATACATTTTGTGTGGATTATATATATATATATAAAAATAATAATAATTTTTGTTTTATTAGAAATACACAAATACAGATATGCAGATGAAACATTTTGAAATAGCACAATAAATCCAACATATAAACTTTCAAGCAAGATTTCCACATTGTTATCAATGTACATGTGTGTGTGTATGCGTGTATGTATAATTATCCATAAACCTTTGTTAAACCTTCTAACAATATTAAATAAAATTATGCAACTCGTAACCATGTGAAGTATATAACAGATTAACGGAGCATGTAGGGTTTTCTAATGATTTCAATAAGAAGAAAAGCGAAAAATGAAAGCATAATAACTGAAGGAAACTTTAAATCCATTTATGAAATTGGGACCATTCGGAGGAGAGGAAGTGTTGCGATGCTAAATAGTCTAAAACCGGGAACCATTTGGGAGTGAAGGTGTCTTGAATAGGATATTGGGAAGAGATGTTTAGTTTGTTTGATACTGCGTCCATTAAATAGTGGTTCCACAGTTTTTTATACCACATTTCCACATTAGGTGCTCTGTGATCTTTCCAGCATGATGCAATTGCCGTTTTAGCAGCATCCAATAAGACTTCTATTAACGCTTTATGTGGTCTGTTTTGTGTGAATATATTAAGCTGCCTTTAATGAAACAGACCTTTAGTCTGTCAAGGTCAGTCTTGTCTACTCTCATTGGAGGCCACTCCCCAGGGTCTCAGGTTGAGGTCTTTCTCATCAACTACCACCTGGTTCTTTTAAGTGGAGACGCTGGGGATTGAACCTGGAACCTTCTACGTGCCAAGTAGAGGTTCTACCACTGAGCCATGCCCCTTCTCCTACATGAAGCTGCCTTCTACAGAATCAGACCCTTGGCTCAAGTTCATAGAATCACAGAGTTGGAAGGGACTTCCAGGGTCATCTAGTCCATCCCCCTGCACAATGCAGGAAATTCACAAATCCCTCCCCCTCCACACCCGCAGTGACCGCTGTTCCACACCCAGAAGTTGACAAAAAAAACCCTGCAGGATTGCTTCCTGACCCCAAAGTGGCAATCAGCATTACTCTGGGCATGTAAAAAAGGGCCACAAGAACTAAGCACTGAGGCAACCCATTCCTGCCCTCCCTCTCATGATCTGCCTCAGTTCACAAAATCAGCATTGCTGTCAGATGGCCATCTAGTCTCTGTTTAAAAACCTCCAAAGAAGGACAGCCCACCACTTCCCGAGGAAGCCTGTTCCATTGAGGAACCGTTCTAACTGTTAGGAAATTCTTCCTAATGTTGAGCCAAAAACTCTTCTGATTTAATTTCAACCCGTTGGTTCTGGGGCAACAGAAAACAACTCCACACCATCCTCTAGATGACAGCCCTTCAAGTACTTGAAGATGGTTATCGTATCACCTCTCAGTCGTCTGCTCTCCAGGCTAAGCATACCCAGCTCCTTCAACCTTTCCTCATAGGACTTGGTCTCCAGACCCCTCACCATCTTCATTGCCCTCCCCTGGACACGTTCCAGCTTGTCTATATCCTTCTTAAATTGTGGGGCCCAAAACTGAACACAATACTCTAGGTATTGTCTACTCAGACTGGCAATGGCTTTCCAGGATCTCAGGCTGAGGTCTTTCGTATCACCTACTACCTGGTTCTTTTAATTGGTGGTGCCAGGGATTGAACCCAGGACTGTCTGCATGCCAAGCAGATGCTCTACCACTGCGCCATAACCCCCTCCTTGATTGTTGCAATCAAGGTCGATCCACGGTGTTTGGTCGTCTCCAGCAAAGCATGCACATTCCCTTCATGAGCCCACAGCACTCCTGACCATGGACCCAGGCGCTGCCACAGGAGCTCAACTTGGACACAGCCAGTGGCAGCGCATGCTCAGGAGGGACTGCCAGTCTCTCCCCCCCCCCCCCCCCCGCCACTGGTGACGGGAAGGGAGTTGAGTGATCTGGTGCCCTCCTCTTTGTGGTGCTCCACACAGTCTCTTCAGGGGCTCAGTTAGAGAACAGGCCTTGGTTGCAACGAGTCGGGTACGTCTGCACGTTCCAGTGTATCATGAGATTAAGTCAGGCATCGTCTCCACTTTATGAAATGCATCCCCTTTCGTTTCCTTGTAGTTGCTCTTCAGGACAGCCAGCCACATGCTTGACGAAATGACATCTATGTTGCCTCTTCTGTGTGGCGTTCGCCACGCCTGAGCAGCAATTTTTTTAGTAATTCTCCTGGGCCAACCTGTCTAAAACAAGTGAGGCTGCTCAGGAAACTCACCAGGAAATTCTCTTCATGCGAAAGGCAGCCATTTACTAGCCCTGTATCCAGAGCCCAGCTGTGGTGAGGAGGAAGTTGTAACGTCTACTGCAGGACAGTGTTCAGTGCGGCTAAAATTTGCCACTTCACTGTATCACACGCGTGATAAGCCCTTGAATATTTGTTTTTCAGAACACAATTCAGCCGCAAGTTCAAAATATTCCTGCCTCTCCTACCCGAAAGGAGAGAAGTGAGGGATTACTTCAGAGTCACCAGCCAAGTCTATTGGAAGGTAAGTCCACCTGAGTTCTTATTTTGTAGCTCTGAATCTCAGCAGTCATGGTTGTAAGCCAAGATATGTTCTGTGTGGTAGGAGTTGATGGTGTATCTGCTCCATGGAGGTGTATCTGCTCCATGGATGTGTTTTGGGTAAGATGGGCGAAGGTCCTGTGACGGATGGGCGAAGGTCCTGCCCCTTTCTGTCAGTCCCCAAATCTCTGAATGCCAGTTAGGTGTATGTATATAACAAATAACAGCCAAACAAGGAATCTTGGGCAGCTGAAAAAGACAGGTAGGAGGGGGGCACACAAAATAAAAAGTTGTTACATTGTCACCTTCGTTCCAATAGGGCCAGAGAGCGAAAGACTGGAGGGATCCTGTCTCAGAGTCTGTCTTGTGTGTTTGCAGGCTAAACCAGTGAATGTTTACCGACAAGGTTGCACCTTCAGAGAGGCAGGCTGAAAATCCTTTCTCAGGAGACTGTAGAGGTCTCAGAGTCTGTCTTTTGTGGGAAAGCAGTCTAACACTGTGGACATTTGAGGAAGAGATGGTCACTGTCTCAGGGCCTAGTTGCTGAGGGAAACTGGCTGAAGATTTGTAATTTCTGGGAAGACCTCACATTTATACCATGAAACTCCTGAGGTTGAGGGAAAGCCAGTCTTCATTTCAAGAACAAAAAATTGACTCTTAATTGTTCTCTGCACTCAGGAGTTGACAGCTGAAATTTTATAGCTTAACAAGCCCAGCAAAATCTGTGTGTTACTTGTACATCGGTTGAAGCCTCTTTACTGGATATCCTTACTTCTGCAGTCCCTGGAAGTGAATGAAAATTCTTGTTTTTCCATTCTCTTTCCCCGACGTCATCTCTCTCTATATATATATATAAAAGAAAGTCCCCTCACCATAAAATCAACGCCCAGGCCAAACCGCTGGACCTAGGAACACTAAATTCGGGGAGAGCGCCCCCACCGTGCTCGCTAAGAAGAGATTTTTAAAAAGTTGACCCCTAAGGGGGTCAAAAGGGGGAAAATGTGCTCCCCCACATTGATTCTTATGCGGCTGCCAGGAAGCTCTCTCCCTGCACCCCGTGATTGGTCAGCTGCAGAGTTCAGAGGTAAAAAAACACCCAAGAGTTACAGGGGACTGCAGAGAGCTCATGACAGCTGAGGAAATTGGGAGTGGCCAACAAAAGCACCTGTGAGGTGCAGTAATGCTGCTGGCCCAGCCTCTCTGATGGCTTCCAACACACTCCCCCCACCTCCAGAGGGAGCTCACCAAGCAGCCTGGTGAACCTAGCACCTGTGGGCAGAACCACCAATGTGGTCTACCGAGAGGTCCTTCAGTAGGGGGGGGGGAAGTACATATGTCCCACTTCATTTCTTACACTACAATCTTCTCTGTTAGAATTCCTACAACAAATGTCACATTTCAAATTTCACATCATCAGCATTATAGCTGGATTTACGGAGCTTAAATACCGTAGCGAAGCACAGGTAGCAGGCTAGTATGTAATAACAGAATTTTAAAGGCCACTTGGGGTCAATCAGTCAGTAGAAGGTTGGGGAAGAGACCAACCTGGTCAAATGAAGAAGAGGAGTAGGTTTTTACACTCCGATTTTCTCTACCTTCAAGAGTCTCAAAGCAGCTGACGATCACATTCCCTTCCTCTCCCCACAACAGGCCCCTTAGAATCATAGAGTTGGAAGGGATCTCCAGGGTCATCTAGTCCAACCCCCTGCACTATGTAGGAAATTCACAAATACCTCCCCCCTACACCCCAAGTGACCCCCCCCCCTACACTCTATGCCTAGAATTGGGACTGGCCCAAGGTCACTCAGCAGACTTCGTTTGGATGACTGGAGAATCAAACCCTGTTTTCCAGATTTGAATGCACTACTCTTAACCACGCTACCTCTGTTTAAATGGTACTGGAAACTCCAGCCTTCACTACTTTTCATTTCCTTCTCAGTGACATGAAATTGATTCAGAGAATGTTGCCATGAGTAATAGGTGAGGAGATGTGTGTTTCTTGTTTGATTTCTGTGGAATGTAGATTAGTTTGTGTCACTCTGACTAAAATGGACATTCCCCTGCTTTAAGCATTCCCACTGAAGATCTAGTCCTCATGCTGAAACAATACATGTGGTAGAATTTGCCCCACTTCTGTTTCAGATATCCAGCTTCAGATCTGTCCATATTCTTGGCACTGGTTCCAAAGGTTTCATTTATCACTATCCATTGGGCCAGTGCTGGGCGGTTAATTCTTTTTAACTGAAAAGCTGTTCATTGTGCTCTCCCTCACACTAATGGGCACCTGGGGCAGCACGCTGAGACACCTCACGTCTTCAGTCATCCTAAAATGACACAAACTCAGGATTGAGCTGCAGTTGCGTTTCTGGAAAACAAAAACAGAGGTTTTGTTGGAAGAGGCCTTTGAGGAAACTGTGGCCGTGGTTGTTGTGTGCACAGAAGTAACCAAGAGCAAGACTAAAAGTTCGTCCCATCAAGCCATAAAAGATGCTATTGGTTTCTTCCTTTTTCATCCCTCAGTAAATACCACAGTGCCCAACTGCGTGCTTTACTATTCACGGGTCTGCCCAGCTCCTGTCGAGCAGCTGTGGGCTGGGAGACTTGTGTGCGTGTGCCAATTCAAAATCAGGACCATGGAGTGCTGAGGGAGGATGCTTCAGTTTCCCCCAGCACCATTTCCTAACCTGAAATGTCCCTCAGGATCTGCTATTTGTCCCTCTGGGGAAACTTAAGTGTAGCCCATTTCCTCAACAGGGCAAAGAGCAGCTCGTCAAGACCCAAATGGCACAGCGGGGAAGGCTTAAACCTCTTCTGAGCTCCTCTCCATTCTGAATCTGGCCCAGCGTGCCTGAGAATCCAGGTTTTAAGAAGGATCTCCCAGCACGCATCTGCTTCATAGGACCCAGAATGGATGCATAAATGGTGTAACATGTAGTTAGCCCCTATGTGGCTTAGGACCAGGGCATCTGAAGGATTGTATTCTCCCATATATTCCTGCCCGGAAATTAAGGCCACAGGGAGGGACCCTCCTGAGTGTCCCACCAATCAAAGAAGTTCATCTGGTGGACACACAGTGGCAGCCCCATGATCATGGAACAACCTTCCCAAGGTAATGTATCTGTCCCCCTCACTTTCCATCTTCAGGAGGCAGTTGAAGACAGTTTTATTTTGAACTGTGTTTGACAAATGTAGTCTTTATTTCTTGATAGTCCTAATTGGAGATTTTAAATTGCGGTCTTTTATGTGTGTGTGTGTGTTTTAAATAAACCCTGGTCCCGATCACAAGCAGAATTAGCCGCGTGGTAGGCACGAATGCCGGGTGGATTTTAAGGGCGTGATCACACGGGAACATCTGGCAAGCGTCCCGCACCCGTCGGCAACCCGTCTCGCTCCGCCGAAGAAGCGGAGTTAAAAAATACCGGGGAAAGTCCAGTATCAAACGGGTTGCTGTGGGCCACAGACAGACTTTCCCCTGTGTGTGAAGGCTCCAGCACGCTCTCATGGGGTCGGGATGGTCTGATCAGGCCATTACGACTCCGTGCCGTTGTTTTCCCCCCCTTTCCCAGTATGTGCATCATTGCATACTGCCATAGGAAGCCCTCAGTGTGGAGATGCGATTCATTGCACCTCCGTTTAAGCAAATCAAAACCAAACAGCAAAAAAAAAAAAAAAAAAAAACCAACCAACTCACCCACAATTGCGTCTGCCCGCAGCTTTAAAGAACTATGTGATCGCGCAACTGTGGGCCAATTTTCCCCATGGGTAAATAGCCTCGCTTCCCCCGCGCATTATCTCGTGTGTGTGACCGGGACCCCTCTTTAGTTATACTGTAAGCACCCTTCAGTTGGGGAGGGTAGAAAGGCGGCTAATAAATGTTTTAAATAAATAAATAACATTTCCTGTTCTTGTTTCTGGCCTCTGAAAACTGGTTCTTCCTCCTAATGCACCTATGGACTTGTGCTGGCACCACTAGGTGGTATAGGAAGCTGCCATTAAACATCCCATATGCGTCTGGAGAAGTGATACTGAATGAGGGCTATATGATCCCTCAGAAAGCAATCTGCAAATCTTGAGGGGTTCCATTTGAAACTTTGGGGAGGGAATAGGGGTGTTTGGCATTTTAGGACTTTAGGCAGCCCCTCTGTGCTGTTTTGCTATTTATATATTTTGTGTGTTTTTTATTTCTGTGATTTAATGTGGGATTGTCATGCTACCCCGCGGGTTGCCAACTTCCTCTGCCACCACTCTGGACTTAGGGTCCCTTGTGAAGGCCCAGAGTACCCTTCCAAGCCCAACCAAAAATGTCCCTGTTCAGCCGAGAAAATATAGGTGTGATGACCAGGCAGAGAACATAAAAATGGTTTATTAATACAGTAATGGGCAAGTAAACAAGACAAAGTGCTTAGGATATACATAACAGTGTCTAAAGGTAAATAAAACAAATCTAATGCAGCTACCTATTTCTCTTAACTGGTTATTATTCAAGGTTCACAGCCTTTTATACCCGGCCTGTGCTTGTTGCCTGTACTCACTCAGTCCCAAGTGAGGGATCTTTCTCTCAAACCAGACTGTTCTCTCAGCTTAGCTCTGTGAGAGAAAAGAACACAGTTCCACAGCACACAGAGTTTTTAGTAACAGTCTCCTCATATAATCCCTGGACACCGATTGGTTACAAACGGCGCCAAGCATTGTGAGGATTGTAGGAGGTGTCTGCTTTCCACTCCCAGACAGGTGGGCCTTGTCTCCCAGTCCTACACAGATCATGACAGGGGTTTTATTTGTATGTTGCTGTAGTTTAAAATGCAGCCTCTAGAGTAAGAATTGGGGGGGGGGACTGGATGAGTGATTGAAGTGTATTATGTTTGGATGGTAGCTGTACCTGAGGGGTGGAGTTGACTGATTTGTTCAGAGTGTTTGTGAGAGAAGGAGAAAGTTGAGTGGGTGAAAAAAATTAAATGAGGTGCTGTGGAGAGTGAGAGAAAT